ATAGTTGGATTAAATCAAACACAGTTGGACAAAAACATCAAGCACAGACGGACAAAAATATCAAGCACAGATGGATAAAAACATAAAGCATGGACGGATAAAAATGTCAAGCATGGACGGATAAAACCATCAAGCACGTACAGATAAAACCATCAAGCACGTACAGATAAATATCAAGCACGTACAGATAAATATCAAGCACGTACAGATAAAAATATCAAGCACGTGATAGATAAACATCAAGCATGAACAGATAAAAATATCAAGCACATACAGATAAATATCAAGCACGGGACAGATGAAAATCAAGCATAAACAGGTAAAATGTCAGACACGGAGTGACATTTTGTCTAGCCATGCTTGATATTTTATCGCGCAATGTCTGATAATTTTGTCCAACTCGGCTTGCCATAAAATACAGGTTTAACCTGTTGCGTTACAACAGAATAAATTAACATGATGAAAATTAAAATTCTGATCAGCATATGACCAATTGGCCCAACAGCTTTTGACCATAAATAGATCAGGAGCAGATTTTTATATTACGGCATTATGCAATTCAAATTATTTATACGGAGACCATTCTATTTTAAAACAAATAAACCTTATTATTAATTATGATGTTCTTACAAAAATGGTTGATATTTAAGATAGATGAGAAATAAGCATTTCTCTACAACAACTAATGTGATTTTTTTTCCAGAAATTATGGTGATATGCTACTCTAACAAATTTTTTTAATCCTTATTCATCATAATAGATACTTACAATATCTTGATTTTTGACATTAGACAGAATGAAATACAAAATAACTCGCAAAAAATTTATCTGCTGAAACAGTCCAAAAGTTTTTGTCATAGATTACTGGATTACTTGCATCAATTAATTTTATCATATCACATTAAAATATTTCAAATGTTCCATTTGGTGAAATTGCAAGTGATTAGAAGTTAGAATTAGTTAAATTTACAATTTATAACCTATAACACAAAGCAGATTCATTACAATCATTTAATTGATTATTAATTACTAGTATTCATTACGTTTTACGAAAAAAATAATTTTATAATAAAAAACCAAGATTTCAATTTTACATTTTCATGGTTTGAAACAAAAATTAATCAAAGTTTTATTTGAGTTTAAAATAATAAATAAGGCAAGGCTTGTACAACAAATTTAAATTAACATGTCAAAGAATACAATCGATCTACTTCAATATTTCCAATTTTTCAACAAATAATATTTTTTAAAAATTCATTCGTTATAATAAAATAAGGCCAATTAACTGTTGTATTTCAATTATCATAAAAAATTGGATTTGTATCTTATGGTAATTTGTTACTTCCAAGAAAATGTATATGTTATTAAAGAATTTTACGTCTTTTGTTAGTATGTAAAATTATTAATTTAAAAAACCTGCTAAATACAATACATTAATGATTGAGACTAACCGTAAAATCAAAAAAAAATATTATATGAATTAGTTCATATTAATTGTGGAGTGCAAGAGATTGATAAGCTTTATAACTGTTAACTCATTTGAAAAATTCAAAATTCTTAAAAAAATCTAATCCAAAAATTTTAATTATTCTATTTAAGTAATTGGACTAAACCATCGATGTTTTGATTATCTTGTTAATTATAGCCAATTATAAGTACTATCTCAATAAAAATGGTTTATTTATGATAAAAAATAAAATAATAAAATACAAGTTCATTTTATGACATCAAGTTACACAACAACTGTTACTCATTATTACTGTATTAAAAATTTCTTTCTTCATTTTCGTTATTTTTTAATTACTTGAAATACTTCATAATCCAATATTGTAATAATTTTTGGAATATCTAAATTAGGATAGTATTCTGATTGACCAAGATAAGTCCAATTATTGGAATTAGAGTAATATAAATCACCCATTTGTGGCCCAAAATTATTATTACAATAAACAGCCCAAGTTTTTCCACTATTGATGTAAGATAACTTTGTTGTAGCATTAGAAATATTTTTCCAATCTGCAAAACTGAATAAAAAACTATCACTAGTATTTTTCCAACCATCTCCATTCCAATCAAGCGGATTATAACCTCCAACTAATTTTGTTGAATTTTTAATTTTTGCTATCCAAATAGTAGCTCCTTTATCATCACAATTTCTATGAAATGATTTAGTATCAATTCCATCTCTATTTGAACGATGTAATAATTTAAATTTATAAGGAATATCTTTTTTGTCATAATATGAAGATTCCTTTCTATTGATCCATGAAGCAAAAAGGGGAATAAGATTTGGTTCAACTAAGTTTGAATCAAGTTTTAAATATTGCTTTCGTGAAGGTGGTAAATTAGTTTTATGTTTCTTATCAGGAACAATATGAAACTCCAAAAGATCATGAATTAAGTCTTGTGGTAAGATGTCTTTATAACAATAAACTTTGTAAAAAAATTCTGTTGGTTTAATATCATAAAATCGAATTAATGGAATAAATCTGTGTAATGACCTTTCAATTTTTATAATATCATCTTTGCTCCATTTTGTTGGATCATTCATTATATTCTGTTGTGTGAAACACCATTTCAACAAATTATCCCAAATTTCAATTTCATCCATATATAAATCGTCCCGTTTCAACAATAATTCTAATAAAGGAGCTTTTAAATTAATAAAATTATCAGAATTAAATAATACTTTGGGTTCTTCACAAATATTTTCAAGACAAAAATTCCATAAATCCGTAAATGTTTCATGTTGATAAACAATTTCAAGAATACCGGTTGGATTTTGATGTAATAATTCAGTTTGATGTTCTATCAAATATTCTTGAATATAAGTAATCAATGAATGAATATTAAGTTCATCCACCGCTATCAACAAGTTCAATACAACCGGCCCTTGTAAATTCTTTAATTCAATATTTCCACAATAGAGGAATCTAAATGTAATTTAGCAAATTGATAATTAATAATTTATCTAGAATTTTTTTTTCAAAAAAAAAAAAAAAAAAAAAAAAAAANAAAAAAAAACATCATAAAGGTCATTCATGTATTACCTAAGAATAATATCAAATAAATGTGGACTGATATTTTGTTTTCTCAAAATAAATTTTCCATTTTCTTTTTTAGCCCATTCATTAGAAAATGCAGTACGAAAATATTGAGACCTAGCACATAAAATATTTGAATGAGCATGAATTTCTTTAACATTTTGTTCTTCTCCTGCATAAATAATAACATCATATCCTATTTCAGTTTCAAAAAGTTTCTCATAGTCGTTGGATAACTCTGCCAAAAATTTTGAAGACATTTCTTTTTTTTTTATTTTTAAAGAAAAAGAAAAAATTATTAATAAAAACAAGACGAAAATTGCAAATTTGAATATTTATTTGTATGTATATGTTGTGTAATATTAACAATCACTTATTTTGGAATGATTTTCTCTATGTTGCAGAGATAGTGTAATCATCGGCTGACATTAAATTTGGCCGGAATTTGCGAATAATAATGTTGGCTGGTCTTATACAATTCTGGCCAAATCCATATTGATAAGTAATCATGTGATCAGACCAATCGTTCAGACTTCAGAGTTCAGTCTATCAATACCATAGTGATAATATATCTAATTCATTTTCAATTTTAATAATTTTAATTAGACTATTTTAGTATTCAATTTTTAACTAAAATCTATATTCAGTTTGACATAGAATCAGATTAACTACTATTAATATTATTAATAAATTAATGGATTTTTCTTTACTATTTGTATATTTGTAAAAAAAGCGTTTTTAATATTGTTACATTTACTTTTGCTATCATTATAGCTATTATTTTTATTAAAGATATCTTATTTGCAAGGCAATAAAACAATATTTTATTTTATTATTATATTTAAATTTGAAATAAAATATTGTTTTTGCTATTTATATCAAATTATCAATGGTTTTTTTAACGTTATAATAGAAACTGATGCTAATACTAGTGCCAGCAGTATTCTGACTGATATTTGGAAAAATATTTTAATTGATGAAGGTGACTTTGAATTTAATCCAAATAATGATAACGAGAAAAACATAGCATTAGATAATGATTTTTCAACTACTACCAACATTGGCAGCCATATGACAGAAAGTACGAATTATGATACTGAAATTTTGCCATTCATTTGGAATGAAATAGCTACTATTAGAAAGCAAAAAGTGACGAAATTAATTGGGAAGATACTGATTTTGAAGAAAATTTTGAAACAGAATCAATTATAACAAGATTAACAGATGAAGAATATAATTTTAAAATTAAAGATACTAATATTTTATCAATGTTAACATTAACATCATGTGTTATTTGGGCGATAAGCAGTTGATAAACATGAAGAAGATACAACAAAATCCCTTGAGCTTTCAGGAACTCTACTCACGTGATCTTAAAAATAAGAAATATGATTCATTTTCACCAAGTGATATATAACGAGCATCAGTAGTATAGAGGAACCTGAAGGATCCTAAAATAGTATTTCAAAGGATCAATTGAAAAAGGATGATTACTAATGCAATTAAATTCTATATTTAATATTAATATTAATCAACTTTAATATTTATAATTGTTATTTTATCATAATAATTGGTCAGACTGACAAATGACAAAAACTGAATCTAGTACCATTAATTTTGAATCATGAGTAATTATGAGATTTATGAATATTGACTACATATTACAAACCACAATTATACATTATTAATCATATGTAGGCAGTATTACTTGGTGACACATTGATGTGAATAATCTTGAATCAAAAACTGTTATAGTTACACTTATAGTCATAATTACATTTAGTTACACATCATTAGATACATATCATATGATTAGAAAATGGATATAAAAAGAGGACAAAATCTGATAGTTTTATGTTAATTTTTAATTTATACTCCTATTAATTTTTCATATTAATTTATATTTTTATATTCCTAAAAAAATTAATAATCTTAACTAACTTGTTTTTCTCATTAGACTTTTTAGTTTTCGAAAGTTTTTTTTTCCTTTTAATATTCACAACACCATATTATTTCTTTTTCTTTGATATTTCTTTTTTGGTTTTAAATGATATGAAATTCAAGGCCATTTTGTATGGTGAGTATGAAGGGATGGTGCGCACTGCAGGGTTCACGATCGGGCTAGTTTCTTCCCAATTGCATCCAAGGTTACAGCCTGAACGGAATATTACTTAGTTATATTCGTAACTAACCTTAGTTTTTTGATATAGGGTATAATCAAGAAGAGTTACTATATATGGTAAGTATGAAGGGATGGTGCGCGCTGCAGGGTTCACGTCGGGCTAGTTTCTTCCCAATTGCATCCAAGGTTACAGCCTGAACGGAATCTTCTTGTAACTAATCTTAGTTTTTTGATATAGGGTATAATCAAGAAGAAAACATATTTATTAGAGAGGTTACAATATATGGTAAGTATAAAGGGATGGTGCGCGCTGCAGGGTTCACGATCGGGCTAGTTTCTTCCAAATTGCATCCAAGGTTGTAGCCTGAACGGAGTCTTACTTAGTTATTTTGTAGCTAACCTTATTTTTTAATTAGGGCATGTTCAAGGAGAATAATATTTACTGTAATTAATTTGTGACACTACAATTGAAAAAGACAGAGTACAGCTGTAAGAAAAGCACTGGCCAGTCTTAAGATGTTAACGACTGATCCATGTCATTTAAAAACGTCATGAAAAAATTGTCTCGCGTATACCATATGATAATTTGTCCGACGCACAATGTATTTATTCTATTATTACTTCTTGAATTAAGTTTAGTACGATCGCATACAATGTTTAGTAATTAAATTATATGTATAAGTTAAATAACTTAAATTGTAACAAAATATTTAAAAAATCGTTTTAATTCAAGATTTTTCTGCATTACAATTTGGTTATGAATTTTTTTTTTTTTAATAAAAAATAAAATAATATCAATGAATCTATCAGAGCGTAATAAAGAAAAAGAGAAATTTCTAAAAAGTTAAATACAAAAGTTTTCGTCGATAAAGCCAAGAGAAACTAAACTAACTTGATATTCTTTTCGTTTACCATTATTTAACACGTATTTGACTAATAGTTTGAGGTGGTATTATTTAAGAAGTACGAGATTCTCAGATATTGTGAAATTAATAATTGTTATCACCGTTGATCTATAATAATGATCGGACATTTTTTTGCAGTTGACTCAGTGACTCACGTATCACGAATTAATAATGATAATTACTTCAAGTCCTCAAGAAACAGCTTTTGGCTCAAAAAAAAAATTAAATTTAACTAGTCAAATGCTCTTGTAGAATTAACCATTGACGAATAGCAATACAAAATAAGTAAGTTTTAATTTTATAATTTTGGTACTACCGGTTGTACTTTATATTTCATTTTATTTTCACTTCATATAATTTAATTTGCCTTTACTAACGTTCTATCATTTATTTCTTTAAAGTCACAAATATTTTAACATTTTAACAAAAAAATTAATCATTTATTTATACAAGATTTAAATCATAATTTTTGTTATAAAAAACAATACAATACTACAAATTTGGAATGTTACTTTTCTATGTAAATAAAACGAACATATTTTTTTAAATAATATATATATATATTGTTTCTAGATTTTGAGTGTTTTGAGTGTTTTTAATTTCTTTTTTGCATCTTTATCTCCTTGATTAGCAGATTTTTTATACCAATACTTTGCTTTATCCAAATCTTTTTCAATACCGTTTCCTTTTTCATACATCAACGCTAAATTATATTGTGCTATCTCATTTCCTAAATTTGCAGCTTCTTGGTATAATTCAGCTGCTTTTCGTTTATCAATATTAATTCCAATACCAATATCATAACAATATCCTAACATTGATATTCCACCTGAATATTCTCCTTCGGCTGATTTTTTAAATAATTCAAAAGCTTTTTGATCATTTTTATTAACACCATTTCCATCTTTATGTAAATAACCAAGATTAAACATAGCTATCAAATTTCCATTATTTGCAGCTTTTTCATACCAATATGCAGCCAATTTTAAATCTTTGTTAACACTTAATTTATTTTCGTAAAACCAACCTAATTTAAATTGTCCTATTGCATATTCTTTATTGGCCAATTTTTCATAATATTGAAAAGCTAACTTTACATGTTTTGTAATTCCATGTCCAAATTGATAACATCCTCCAACATAACATTGTGCTAATAAATGATCCTGTTCTGATAAATTTTTAAATAAATTAAATGCTTTCTTATAATCCTTAATTGTTTCAATTCCTACATAATTAAAATATCCAAGTAAAAAAATGAAATTCGGAGCATTTTGATTATTTAATAACCAATTATAAATTTCTTTTGAATTTATATTATGATTATTAAGATAATCAAGAACATAAGATTTTGTCACATTTCTTTTATTAACTTCCTTAAAAATGAGATTAACTATTTCATTAACTATTATGCTTGAATTCTCAGATGAAATATCATTATCATTATTTGTAATAATCGTATCTATTTCATTTATATTCGTATTATTAAAATTTTCGATTATTTGAGATACTTTTCCATGTAATGAATTTTCAGTTGAAATAAATTTTTCCAACCTATCAACAACTTTATGCATAGATGGTCGATTGTTTGGTTTATCATTCCAACATTCTAATAATTAATAATAATATTTGATTAAACAATTATTTTGACGAATAAGAAAAAACGTTATATTTTAATAAATTGAAATTATATTTACCAATATAGAGATTAGAATAATCATTAGGAGTATTAGGAATAATCTCTTCTCTTCGACCACGCAAAATTTCATAGGTTAAATTCAACATATTTGACTCTTCATGAAATGGTGGGATCCCGCTTGATATTTCCCATAACAATACGCCAATACTATATACATCGCTCTTCTCATTTAATTTTAAACTATTGAACAATAATATTTTTGGATCAATATAGGGCACCATACCAAGTAATTTTGATTGTGAATAAGATGCCTCATCAATCCTTTTTGATAGCCCAAAGTCCGACAACTTGATGGAATTCTGATGAACCAATACATTACAAGAATGCTAGTACAAATAAAGGCAAATTAGCTTTTACTATAAAATAAACATATTATTGTTTTATATTAAATAAAAAGATTACCAAGTCTCGGTAAACAATTCCTTTATCATGCAGAAATGATACAGAACAAGCTAATTGGTAAGCCAAGTTATATTTATGTTTCCAGGTAAGTCTATTAAAGTTATTTTTCAAATAATCTCGAAGAGTACCACCATCTGCGTATTCCATTACCAACCAGTAATCTATTGTTTGGTCAATTTTATTTTTAACANAAAAAAAAAAAAAAAAAAAAAGGAAATAAAATTTTTGTTAGATTTTGCAAAAAAAAAAAAAGTTTAAATAAATATAATTTAACTATAATTATTAAATACTTTATTAAATACCTGATTCAAGTTTTGTAATTCCGTAATAGCGAATAATATTGACATGAAAATTTACATCTCGTTGAAATTTAAGCTAAATTGTGAATGTATAAATAATAATTATTATTAAGAAAAGATAATAATATTTTATTTTGTGTATTGTGTATATCAAAATTTTTTAATAATAAATTTACCTCATTAACAATTTCTTTTATGGTGATGTTATTGGGATTAAAAAAAGATTTTAACGTTAAATAATGTTCAAGATTTTTCCAATTTGCACGGTAAACTTTTCCAAATTCTCCGGAACCAATTTCTTGAATATTTTTAAAATTTTCAAATTCGTAATATTTAAAATATTCTTTAGAAAGAGCTTCTTTAATCCAATTAATATATTCATTTGTATTTTCTTTACTTTGTATTTTGTTAATATTGTTATTATTAGACATGGCGCTATGAAGTAAACAAAAAAAAAAATTGTCGACAAAAATAGTTAAAAAAAAATAAAATTATTTGTTGATCATTCGAAATAGTGTTTATAAATGATTTTCCGAGTTACACTTTTGTGTAATATAATTATGACGATCTTTTGTCCCTGTACAGTACAATTTTACGTAGTAATGTTTCCAGAATCATTTGAAAATTAGAGAAAATTTTTCAAAAATATGTGAGCCCTGTTTAGTATGCAAAAATAAGAGTAATGACAAGGATTATGTAAAGCATAAAATGATATTAAGATTGATAGTAGCATAAAGAAATAAATAACTAAAATGTCAAATTGGTTATGCCCTATAAGAAATATGTATACGGAAAGGAAACGTTTTGTATACATTTTATGTACGTTTCTATAGATTCCGTATACAAATTCCGTATATTTAATAAGCAATTATTTTTTGAACATTTTTTAAAAAAACTAATATTTTTAGAAAATAATTTTACAAAAATCTCGTATCATAACACGAGGTCACGTGATTGTTTATTGTTTTGTTATGATACGTTTTTTGTTTTTTTTATATAAGCCCTTACTTTGATGAGTTTGATCTTCCGATCTTCCTTTCTGTCTTTCCCTTCCTTCTCTTTTCTCTTGTCTTATTTTTGTTATTTTTTCTAAATTTTTCTTCTTTTTTCGTCACCCCCCTTTTAAAAAAAATAAAAAGAAAAAAAGAAAAATACCTCAAGACCAAAATAACTGAGAAAACGAACCTTGAACCTATAATGAAAATGAGATTCGATAAACAAATAAATATGAAGACCCAGGCGATGTTTACCAATTCCCAATATAATTTATATCATTTTAATATTATAATTATAATTTAGTACATATTATTTTGTTAACTAATTATTACCTATATTAAATTCCTAATTATAATTATAAACAAAAACTGCTGTAACCATCTTTAATTTACTTAGTATTACATTATAATACTAAAATTTTCTATTTAAACAACCTCATTGGTCCCGGTGCGGAGCAACGGGTAACTGCTAGTTTATACTATTTAACTCTACTAACAATATTGAAATTTATAATTTCTATTCGCAACCTGATTTCTATACTCGATACCTATTCCTTCTTTATGTTATAATGATGACCAGTTTTAAAAATTCGTTGTGCATGTATTGTTTTTTTTTGTGTATTGTATAAAATTTTTTTTTGCAAATCGCACAACTGCACCATTTTTTAAAATAAATTTATCATGATATATTTTAATGCAATCAATGTTGTATAAATGAATTAATTGTTCGCTTCAATGCACAGTCCCAATATATATATATATATACAATTACATATATTCGTAGGATAAAATTGAATCCTCTTATAGTTATGTACATAAAAGTAACGCTAAAACATTAAAAATCGTTGTAAATAATAAATTTTCTTAATCACAATAATAAATAAATGAATATTTTATTTAAAACATACAAATTTATAAGCAACTTTATATAAAAGAATAAACCTATCTAAATAATTAATCAAGTTCCTTTACAAAATCACTTAAGCGAATCATTAAGCTAGAATAACTTTGTACTTTAATATTATATAATCCAAATTCCTTCACTTCATTATTAAATGAAAACAAATCACTACTATGATCTACAATATCATATAATCTAGCTACAAAGTAAGAATTATAAATAGACAAATATTTAACTTTTTTCTTTTTCATAATATAATTTTTTATAGAGGGTAAAATATCTTGACCTGTAGTGTTATGAATCAATAATTTCTTAATAAAAGTATCTTGAGAATTTTTTAGAAATACTTCAAAATCACTTATTTTAATATGATGAATACTTAAACGTAAATATTCTAATTTAGTAGGAAGAATTTGTCCTAAATTTTGTAATATAATTGAACTACATTCACGATTATTATCATATGATGATGTACTGATCGAAAGATAATTAAGATTTTGTTTTATATTTTCAATTAAATTGAATACTAGATGAATAATCCGGTCATCATTTCCACATGAATCAAGAAATCTGATATTTTTACAATATTTTATAATTAATTCTAATAATTGTTGTTTAAATAATAAGTTATAAATAAATCCAAAATCATACCCAAAATTTTCTAAATAATCACCAGATTTTTGGAATAATAATTCTAATGGCTCAATTTGTGATATCTCATTTATAAATAAAGATTTTAATTTAAATGGTTTAGTTAAATTAATAATTTGTTGAGTAAAACTGATACTTAAGGAATAACAATTAATTATATGAACGGATTCTAAAACATTTAATTGTTCAAATATTTCATTTAAATTAATTATACTTTTAAAATCGATATAATAAAAAATGATTGTATTTAAAGTATTTGAACAATTATAATCTTTTGATAATAATAATGATTGATATAAAGAAAAATTATCATAACTTAAAAAAATTTTTTTAAGATTTTGACGTAAATTAATTATTTGAAATATATGATATTTAATTAATGTATATTCATTACTATTGGTATAAAACCAGAAATCAGTTGAACTACTAATATAAAGTTTTAAATTTCTAATATTATAAATAAAATTTGGATTTTGTAAAATTAATTCAAGAATATTATCAATATATGTGTTATAATAAGTACCTGAGATCTCAATTTCAAGAGTATGTAAATATACTTCATTTTCAATAAAAATTTTAAATAATGATATATCAATTAATCTTATAAAATCTGATACTGAATATAATCTATTTTCTGGTTTTATAGTTCTAATAGTCGTTTCAAACCATTTTTCAACAGAGAAAATAAATTTATATATATTCAAATTTTTTAAAAATTTAGGATAATTGAACAGTGTATTTAAAGGTAATGAATTATTAATAATTTTATGCTCATTTAATTTTGTTTTAAAATCATCATTTAAATTATTTAAATAAACTTCAATAAATTTATAGTTTCCAGTAGGAATTGAAAATGGATTTTCCCATAATAATGGAATCGCTAAACGACACCATAATCTGTTAACTAAAATGCATGAATGTAAAGTAGAATAATCATTTTGAAAATATTTTATAACTTTATAAGTTAATTCAGGTAAATTTCCTGAAAATATTTTTGAACATGACATATTGTATGGAAAGTGAAAAGCGAGAAAATATCGAATTTCGAATTGGGTAAATTATATGTCGATTTTGTGTCGCACAATCTACGCCAAATTAATCCTGTGTATCACGTGGCGTTGAAATGTTATCGTTAATTTTATGTACTAAGTTTGGGTCATCCAATAAAATTATTTTTTTAATAATGTATTACATAAGTTTTATACTAATTACATATATTTATTTTTTTTTTTAATAAAATACTAAATTTGTACTTATTATGTATCTAAATTTGTACTCGTGACCAATAACTTACTAAAAATGCAATTACTTGGTTTTATACCAATTATAAAATTTTAATCTTCCGAAACATATAAATGACTATCATCCGACGTTTAGAATATTCTCCATATAAATAATATAAATTGTGTAACGGAAAAATCCACATGTTTGTGACATTTTATCAGGTCATGTGTTGATCAGAATTTTTTTTATTTCACTTTCGTTATTCCTATCCTTTATATACCTTTATAATTATAATTGTTCATTAGTTAAAACAATTTCTTTTTTACCTTGAAAATAGATAAATTAGAAGATAGTTTTATTTAAGTTGTAATATATAAATAAATTATATGCTAAATTTTTCACTGTAGCTGAAAGAATATAAAAAATTTTCATTATAATAAATAAATAGAGCAAATATAGCATCATACAAACAAAATAACAGCGTTATAGAAACTTAAAACTTAATTCGCCGTAAAATTTTACAAATATTGTTATATTTGAAAGTAAAGAAAAATACACATGCTTTTTTAAAAGGATTATCTGTATCAAATTCCTTTGTATCACATGATTTTCTTGGAAAAGAAAAAGTGAATAATATTGTTTCTTATCAATCGTCATCATACATATCTGAGATTTTTCACAAAGAATTCATATGCATGCATCATGATGTTGAAACAATCAGGCGGTCACACAAATAAATTATGAATGTATAGAATTTTCTGATACACGGTGTAAGGACCTTAGATAATTATAATAGAGGTTACATTCACGTTACTAATAAAATTTTCAAAAAATATACAGAAGCATTATAATCGCATGATCATTAGTATATTATTATTTATTATATTAACGTGTTACACCTGATTCTAAATTATCTAAAATTATGTTGGCATACACGTGGTGTTCAATACGCTTCGAACAATAATTTAATGAAATAACTGTTGGTATGAACCCATTTTTTTTACAAACATAAATAATAATTTCCTGGAGCATTTTGATATCTTTTCAATGTTTCTAAACGACATTTAGTTTTCCATCTTTTTATTCTTAAAATTCCAGATTTTCGAGTTATTGTGTTAACCTTATTAGGATTAAGGTTTAAAGTTGAATTGGTTTCAATGATTTGTTATCTTCCGAATTTTAGAAAGAGCTTCATGTTTTTGATGTTGTGATACCAAAAGTAAAATATCTAATTTTCCTGACAACAAAACGCCTGTTTTCAATGTTTTATTGTTATATTCCCAAATAATACCTTACCTAACTAACTATTTATGCATAAAATTTATTTTATTTCGACCTTCTTTATCATGGTTATTAGTACTTTCTTCTAAATCAAAAATATCACATATATTAACCAAATCTGCAGCTTTGCTAATTTCTCTTAGTTCATAATCAGTCTCATTAGTTTCTCATCATCATTTTGATTTAAGTTCTCTTCTAATAAAGAATCTTCATAAACTAACATATTATAAGTCCTACCGTGAAAAAGTTCTTCGTATTTAACAAATTCGAGAATTTCAGAAAATGCAATTTGATTACTCATGAGCTTCATTAATAACCAAATAAATTTTTACATCTGTAGGATACTATAATAAGTCATTAATATCATTAGCAATAGTACCTTCATAATAATCCAAAATAAGTGATTATATTATAAAAATAATACTTATATTTATAGAATACAATGTACATTTCTTATATTTATTGAATAGCTTTATTAATTATTAGAGATATATAATAAATGAATATTCAATATATAAATCACAAATACATAATTTTTTTAAAAATTAAATGAACAATTATGAAAAGTAATTTTAAAGTTAGTTAACTTTCAATATTAACATTTGAATTAGAAATATTTTTATTATTTTCGTCTACTTGTAGTAGCACTTTCATTTTTTAATTGTTAACGTTAATTTGTTGCAAAAAAATAATTTTTTATTAATAATTCAAATAAAAATAAACATTTCAATTATTTAGAATATGATACTAATAAAATAATATTGCACCTTTAGCAACTTGCAATCCAGATGTTGAAATTTTATCAGATGTTCTATCAATGGTCATCTTTTGATAACATTAGAGTAGCTTGATCTGTACATAAAAATAATTAATCAGTGATATATTACTTTAGGATAATAAAATTTAATAGTACTACCAGGTATTTTTTTCATATGAAGTATTACGCAATCTTTCTGAATATAGAAATTCAATAAAGTCAAAAGCACGGCAGAATTATCGTAATTTCTCAATATATACGTTATTGAATTGATATTGGAAAATCGGAAAAAAAAATTCATACTGTACTAGATATAAATAGTTTTTACCTTAAAGATTCGAATAAAAATAAATTACATTATAAACAGTTAACAATTATTGTAAATTATTAATAAAAATTTGGCTTCAAATATTTCCTCCACCTCTTTGAATTTAAAGAAAAATTTTTTTACTTAAATTATTAAATCCAGGACATACTTCAAGGATACAAAAACACTTTTTATTCAGAAATTATATAGTTTACTGTATATCTTAGTTGAACTAGTCAATTGATTTATTCACTACATATAGTATTTTCAGTCAATAATTCAATAATTCGACATTTGGATCATTTTTAGAGCTAAAGATTGGTGTTCGCATAATTACATCGTACTTAACATAAACCAATTCATCTAGTACTGTATTTATGATATATGTCAAATCTAACAATCATTAATATAATCAATACTACATAATTTTTAAAATAGTAAATAGTTACAAATTTATTAACAGTTTTAAGGCAAACGAATGTCCAATAAAAAAAAAATATATAAAAATTATTAAGAATTTTGGAAATAATAAATTAAGTAAATAAAAAAATATTTATGAATAAATATTATTCACGCTAATTCTAAAAAATTTGAAATATTTCAAGTTCTTTTACAAGAGAACCCCTACCATTTTCTCTAATTTGTTTTTCATAATCAGATTTATTGCAACTAATTACAGACCAATAAATATTAAAACTCAAATCATATTGTCCAAATGATGGACCATCAGACGAATAACTACGTATAGCTCTCTTTTCATCTATTACCCGACTTAAAATATATTCATTATTCCTAAAAGAAAATATGAAACTATCTTTAGTACTGCTAAAATTATTATCAGATTTCCATTCAATCGGATTATACCCTCCCAAAATTTCATCACTGTCTTCAACTTTAATAAATGTGACAGTACGGGCTTGGTTAACACAAATTTCATGGAAATTTTCGGCCGTACATTCTTTAATAGATCCACGAAAAATTAATTTAAATTCATATAAATTTTTTATTTTGTCCGTATACTCTAACCTATCTATCCATTTTGAGATTAATTCAACATGTTGAAACGTAATGATTGTAGAATCAATATTTTTTGAACTTATTGATCCTATTTCAGGTTTTGATATTTCATTTGGCTTGATTGGTTTGCTATCATTGTTTAAAAAATCTTTTAATAAACTTTTATATAATTCCTTTGGAAATATTTTTTTGTAAGGCGTCACTTTTTCCGAAAATTCCTTGGAAGTTAAATCATGAAATCTAATTAAAGGAATGCATTGTTGTAAGGTATTCTTTAAAGCATTGAAGTCGTCTTTTGAAAAGCTTTCAATGTCAGATGGAAGTCCCGAATTTTGAGCAAGTCCCCATTTAATCACATGTTCCCAGACTTGTACTTCATTCAATTGAACATTTTCATTTTGAATAAGTGAGATCAAAAGGTTTTCTGGAATTAAAGAAAAGTTTGGAGAATTGAAAATCTTATATGGTTCTTTAGCAATTAAATCAGTACAATATTTTTGAAGTTGTAAAAAAGAATCATTTTTAAAACTCGTTCGATATATAAAATCAAAGTTTTGTTCCATCCAGTCCGCCTTCCTCTTAATCAAAAAAGTTTCTAAATAGGGAAATAATTCTTGAAGACTAAGTTCATTAGCAGTGACCAAGATTTTGATGATATCCGAAACCTCATATTCTTCCAAAGATAATTTCCCTGCATAAATATATCTAAAAATAAACGCTTTGAATTTAATAAAGTATAATAATTTTAAATGTTTATTAATAAATTTTATTTTTATTTTTATTTTTACCTTAAAACCACACTAAAAATTTCAGGTGAAATATTTGGTAATTTAATGTGCGCCAAAGTTCCATCATTTTTCTTTTTATTTGTTGATAAAACTCTTCGTAAATAAGGAGAACGATAATTTAAAATTACCATATGAGCACGAAATATTTTTACGTTAGGGTCATTACCAACTTCAATTGTAATATCATAATATTCTTCATCATTTAAAATTTCAAGAAAATTTTGTGATAATTTTGGTAAAAGTTTATTAGCGATCATTATAATAAATTTTAAAAAATGAAAATGATTCTAAAAATCGATGCAGATCGTTCTTGAATTTATATTTTTTTTCATATGCAGCATTACGCAATCTTTCCTAATATGGTAAATATGGAAAATTAATATAAATTTACCGTAACGTCGGTTTGTAATTTTTCAGTATCATGTTATTGAAAAAAATTCGTACAATAATAATTGATAGGAAAAAAAAAAAAATACTAATTACGAAATTTACGTCCTCTATTCTAACGCGATATCGTGAATTAAAATATATTGTTACCATAGATATTCTAAAAACACATTTGTTCGCAACTATCTAACCACAAGATTTCAGCCATATTATCCAAGGATTTACATTTCACGATTTAAATTTGAAAATAAAACATATTGATTTCTCAATCGTAATTTTATAAAAATAAATACTTATATAAATTTATTTATTTGTGGCTTTAAGAAATAAAAATTATTTATTCCAATACAAAAAAAAAATATGCGTTAAAAAGTAATAATTATGAATAAATATTATTCACGTAATTCTACAAAATTTGAAATACTTCAAAATCTTTTACAAAAGAACTTTCATAATTTTCTCTAATCTGTTTTTCATAATTAGTTCTTTTGCAACGAACTCTTAATCCAAAAAATCCAAAAACTAAAAATAAACACATGTCATCAGTTCCAAATGATGGACCATTGAATGAATCATTTTTCATGGCTTCCCTTTCATTGATTACACGACTTAAAATATAATTACTATTTCTAAAAGAAAATATAAAACTATCTTTGGTAATACCAAAGCTATTATCAGATTTCCATTTAAGTGGATTATACCCTCCTAAAATTTCATTACTATCTTTAACTTTAATAATCGTTACAGTACGAGATTGATTATCGCAAACATAATGAAATTTTTTTGGATTAAATCCATCACAAGATGCACGAAAAATTAATTTAAATTCATGCGAATTTTTAATTTCGTTCGTACTTTCTAATCTATCAATCCATTTTGAAATTAATTTGGAATGTTGAAATGTAATGATTTCAGAATCAATATTTTTTAAATTTGTTTTAATAATCTCATCTGTTACACATGGTTTCATTTTTTCAACTTGCTCAATTGGCTTTCTATCATTATTTAAAAAATCTTTTATTAAACTCTTATATAATTCTTTTGGAAAAACTTTTTTATAAGGTAAAACTTTTTCCGAAAATTCCTTGGAAGTTAAATTATGAAATCTAATTAAAGGAATACATTGTTGTAAGGTATTCTTTAAAGCGTTAAAATCATCTTTTGAATAGTTTTCAATGTTAGAGGGAAGTTTCGGATTTTGAGCAATTCCCCATTTAATCGTATGTTCCCAAACTTGTACTTCACTTGCTTGAGTACCTTTATTTTGAATAAGTGAGACCAAAAGTTTTTCTGGTATTGAAGAAAATTTTGGTGAATTGAAAATCTTATTGGCGCTTTAGCAATTAAATCAGTACAGTAAAATCAGTACAGTAATTTTGAAGTCGTAAAAAAGAATTATTTTCAAAACTCGTTCGATATATCGAATCAAAGTTTTGTTCCATCCAATCAGCTTTTCTTTCAATCAAAAAGGTTTCTAAATAGGGAAACAATTCTTGAAGACTAAGTTCATTAGCAACGATCAAGATTTTAATAATATCTGAATTATCATATTCTTCCAATGATAACTTTCCTCCATAAATATACCTAAAATAAATGATTACAAATTAAAAAAAAAAATACTTATTAACTTCTAATTTATAATCTTTATTCTTACCTCAAAATCACACTAAAAATTTCGGGCGAAATATTCGATAATTTAATATGTACCAATGTTTCATCATTTTTCTTTTTATTAGTTGATAAAATTCTTCTTAAATAAGGAGAACGATAATTTAAAATAATCATATGAGCGCGAAATATTTTTATATCAGGATCATTACCAACTTCAATTGTAATATCATAATATTCTTCATCATCCAAAATTTCAAGAAAATTTTGTGATAATTTTGGTAAAAGCTTATTATCGACCATTATAATTATTAAAATGAATAAAAAAGGGTAAAGTTGAAATGAAAATTCGTTTGCAGATCATTTTTTAAGTTGGACTTATACTACTCCCCCATTCAGGTAATGCCACACAAAACTTTATATTAGAAAAAGCCTTACTTTTTTAGCAGGTCCCACATTAAGTACTCCGTAATTGTAACAGGAGCTGATGTACAAATAGATAGGTTGAGTCGCACATGTACAGTGTTAACGCCAATCATATCTATTGTCACAAACTCACAATAGGTAAATTCATGTTTTATGAAGAAGAAACAAGTATAAATGATGGTGCCAATTTTATATAGTCCTGTACAGTGTCTGGTCCGAGCACCGTAACCAGCCCTAGGTAGTATTGTTCTAATTGAATACATTTTTGACTCCCCAACCCAAAAATGCTCGCCCTCGTGTGACTGACTCTCGAGTGCACGTGATATGTAATGTTGGCCAAAATTATTGTAATACGGTCTGCAAAATTAGGAGCAATTTTAGCTATTCGATAATATCATGTGATTAAACAATGAAACCGTTTCAATTTGTAATTTTTATATGTAATAATTTATTATTGGAAACTTTCTATTTCGCAAAGGTTAAACGTTTGAACAAATTATACTGCAAATATGTCTCGTTAAGCCGAAACCCAAAAAAAAATTTTTTTAACTTTCAAAATTATTAACGTGAGAATTTTATCTTTATTAGGATTTTGAAAAGGATTTTAATCCCTCTATTCTAAAAATTCTCTCTATATCATTAAATTTACTATAATGATTAACTATAATAAGCTTTTCGGATTAATACAAATCAATATATATCAAATAAGTGACACGTATTTGTCTATAAATTCTATATCTCTCCGTATATCTGTCAAATTGAGTGATATTAACATCTTCACTTTGTATTGCTTGATTCTAGCTTTCTTATTCATATTACTGCGCATCACATGTTCATCCTAATTCGGGAGTGATTAGTTTCAATTGACAAACTACTTTGTTTTATTATCGTACTCAATTCTTCTATTCTCTTGAGCAATTCGAACCAATAATATAAAAAGGTTTCACACATTTCGCTGGTCTATACTGACATTACAGAAACAGGTATATTTATGTGAAAAATTAAAATATATCAGGAAGGTACAATTCCACTTTATATACTAGTAGTCAATTTAATAAGCTAGTGATTTCTCCTGTTATTCAAACTCAAATTCTAGTATAGTACATATATGATGATTTGATGTTTAAATGATCACAAAGCTTCGTTAAACATAATATAGTAAATAATATAATTAAAGAAAAGGGTACACCTATGGAATATGATGAATATTTTACCAAGTTTTGTAAAATAAGTTATTGTTTTAACCAAATATAATTTCGTACTAAGTACTAAATTAATATATTTTTTTTCGAATAAAAGATTTCTTCAATAAAGAAATAAAGATAAATTTTTAATTATTGTGTAGCTTAACAAATTATCATCAATGTAAAATTATCCAACAACACTTAATCATAATTATTGTTAAACTTTGCAAATTCTTTTTCTTGCAATTTTTCATTCCTATCCAATAAATCGAAAATTTTACCAAGAAGTCATTCTATTATTATTATTCATACCATTAAATATCCATTCATATTTGTTGTCAAACGCATACTTTGTTTGTGTAATGTTTTACTGACACCTGATTATTTTGATCGTCACCCATATGTGTCATGATGCCGTTAAAATTGCGTAATGTTGGGAATTTATGATAAAATCATTTCCAAATTGTCTCAATCATTTTTACCACGAAAAAAAGTTTTTATCAAGCAAGTAAATAATTATTTTTTTCGATCCTCGGACATTTGTGACAACTGTGACGTTAGCTGATTTTCTATTGATAATTTTTTTTCATAATTGTATTTGATCCTTGATATACTTGAAACATCTCTGACTCACAGCTTATAGTAATTATTCAACAACCATTTATGAAAAAACATATATACATGATACTCTTTGTTATCTCGAGTACTTTCACCATTCCAGGTACAAACTAGATTCGAGGAAAATTCCCTACCTTCTAGGTCTAACGTTGTATTCAAAAAAAGCCATTTGTCTGTATCATACTGAAAAATTACCTTGTTTTTAACTCTCGATTTTCGCGTTTACAGAAATATGGCGCAGATGGTTTTCAATTGTTTTATTCTAGGTGACACTCGTGTGTTTCCGGCTGTTCTTGGAGAAAATATTACCATCAATGACGATACCATTCCTTTTGAAAATTTCAATGACAGACTTCTCATGGACTACATTTTGGAAAAGAAAAGGGATGTTATTAGTAGCTCTAACATAGATCTTTGGAAGGTTGAAATTGAAGAAACCAATGAAAACATAGAAAAACTTGTAAATACTGAAATTAACATTAGAGAAGTATTCAGAGGTGATACAACTAAATTGGCAAAGAAAATTTTCTCGGGTAAACCACCGGATAAGCACATTCACATCATCATCGTGCAACCACCTCGTGCCTGCCACCAATGGTAAGTGTCTTCCAATGGTTTACCTCTCAAACAGGAAATTCACGTTATCCCACGTCCTATAATTTTTTTATTTTGATTAGGGAAAAGGAATATGGAGGAAGACAAGGAATAAAATAATAGAGCAAAAAAACAATGGCAACAAGGTATCTTTCTTTATGTTCATCTTGCTTTATTAAAGAATGAAAACATTCCTAAGTTGACTTGTATCTTTTCCAGGTAATAAAAAGTTTCCAAGATTGCCAGGAAATGATGGTGATATGGATGCTTATAACCAAGAGTGTTACAAGTATTTATATAGTTTTATATTAGAAAATAAACAGTTCAAGTGATAGTACCTAATTAATGACAATCCAGGTATTGGAAAGACATTCTTTGGAAAGTTAATCCTAATAATGCTCCTTAAAAAGGATAAAAAAGTTTTGTTAGATTATTAAACTGTTATGGTATTGCTTTATTATAGAATATGTAAGTAACAAGGTACAATACTGACAAATAGCAGAAGAACAGGTGTATAATTGATGGAAAAAGGGACCAAGTGGGTCATGATTTTTCTAACAGAAAGTTAATTATGTGAGTTCGCCAAAGAAATAATTGGAGATTTTGCAAGGCAGTGGTGCAAAAAACTATACATGCCAACGTGGAATGGATATGAGCTTAAAGATCATCTATTTAAAGACAAATTGACTCTAAAATCCTTAAAAGATAAGTTTGAGTTATGCGGTGGGATTACAAGGTGGATTTTTCAATGTCACTGGTAGATATTGAAATGGCTATTGAGAAAGGTATATTATATCACCAAGGCCAAATCCTCTCAGGTGATGAATATACCTATAAATTAATTCATATGCATACCAACATTGAATAGATGGGTGAATTTTTGCTATACACAACGTCAACCTGCTTCTTTTCATCAAAATATTTGGCAGATAGATGCTTAAAACAATTACAACTAAATTATAAAAAGGAACTATTTGATTTTTCAATAGTGTAACGGACATAACACAATTGGGAGGTTTTTGTGAAACATTATTTGAAATGGTCACGTATACAATAATTCGTCAAGGAGGAGACTTTCAAGTACATAAACTCACAGATGATGGTACACAATCTGAATGTGAAATTAATGGTTTTGATTACCTAGAAGAAAATTTTTTTGATAATGTCGAAGAGATACAAGGACCAGTAAAATATTATTGACCAACTTCAAAGACTTTTGAAAGCATAGACGGTTAAATAATCTAATTTATGACATAACGCAGTACATATTGTGCGTAAATCTTGAATATTAGTTCATTAATTTCATTATTTGTAGACTTTTGTTATAAAATAGCTTCAACCCTCTGTTATTTTTGAAATAAATTATCACACATTCCATTTCTATATCTATGTTACAATTTTTGCAATTACACTTACTAGATGTAATTTCGGATCTATTGCAAAATTTTGGAGTAAATTAAAAAAAATAAAATAATACTAATCTTGGAGAAATATATAGTATCACAAAAATCCACGCAGGAAAGTTTGAGAATAAATTGCAATTGACTTGTTCCCGTAATACATAATTAATGTTATAGCGCATTTATTTATTAAGTTCTGAATTGATGATCAAGAAATTAGTATACAACTTATGGAGTATGTAACTAGATTATTCATTAGGGAAAATTAACAGTTCGTATTTTGACGTTGTCGCAATATGTTACATTATAGGTGCAACAGTGACACAATCAAAAATCACGTGAGTTTTCAGGTCAAAATTTTACCGAAACTTTTTATTACAGTTTTTTTCTGAAAAATAAAATTTATTTATTTATTTCCTAAAAAAAAAAAAAATCAAAATTAAATAGTGATATACTTTATTTTATTTTTCAAGATTACATAACTAATCTAAATAATGAAAAAAATTTTAAAAAAAATCGCTACATTCTTGTTTGTTTGTTAACAAATTTTGGTATAAAATCATGATTGGAGTTAGTCTTATAAATATGTTCATAAAAAAGATTCATTATTAATATTATCATTTCACATTTATCAGATAATTCAAAAAGAATTAAATTTTTATATAAATTTTCTATGTTAGATTTTGCAAATATCTTAATAATATTCATGAGGTTATTCCAGATGAAGATTTATTAGATTTATTAAAGAAAAAAATTTATAAGCTGTTTATTAGTGAATGTTCATCAATTAAATGTTTGAGTTTAGATATGATTTCAGATTCAATATGTAAATATCCAGGATCAAATATTTCTCTTTCAAATCTATATGAGTTAGTTATAAGAGCAGAGAGATGTACGTTTTATCATGAATTGATAACCATCATTTCAAACAATCACATTGATAAATAATTGCTATAAAATTATCAATAATTATAATAGCCAATCACATATATAATAAGTGTTTCTCTTTGTTAAACTGAAAGAAGCTCTAAAGAAATGTATTATAAAAATGTTTAAACTGTGCATAAAAAGTAATATATTATTAAGTGCCAAACTGGTTAAGATACTATATTAATTTTGGATTATATACTATTTGATGTTTTGCTTATTTTCTTAATATCTATCATGCCTAAAGATTTGAGACTACTACTGTTAGACTCGTCTTGGAGGGACAATTTTAATGAGATAGAACTGGAATGGACTGAGTGAGTCGTTCCCCATTCCAAGTTCAGGAAGGAATGATCCCAGTTTTTTCCGCACTTTTCGATAATCCTTTGAATGGAATTCTGATAATAGTTTTGGTATAACTGAAGATAGTTTTATATTCTCTTTTAGTAATAATGGTATTGAGAATTACATTTTAAGTCATGTAAGTGATGAAACGAAAGCTATTAAACGAAAGCTATATGTAATAATCGCTATTACGGTCCATCTTTTGGTAATAAAGATCTATGTTTAACGTTAAGTCTGACCGCTTATTTATCTTTTGTAATAATAAACGTTATGAAAAACAGATCCATATGCTACTTATTCATTAGATTTCGAAGTATTTCAATTGTTAAGGACTGATGATTGAATCCTAATCTAATATTTCATAATTTTTTACAAAGTTAAATTGTTAGAAATAATATAAATCTAGGTTGCATCAATTATATATTATTATTTTTATTGATTTGTAATAAATAAATCTGTTGGTCCCTGAAATACGTTATTTTATTCAATTACCTAACAATATTAAACTATTTGAAGTGTTTGTTACATTTGTGTTGACAGATATCATGCTATTGAAAGGTTATTATATCTCATGTGCGTTTAGTCTTGGGATAAAATAAAAAGATTAAAAATATGAGATTGCAATTATTTAAAAAAAAAATCAGAGTAAGATATAAATTTACAAATTAAATATTATAAAATGTCATGTTTTAACTTTTAAAATAAAATATTGGATAATATCAAATTTTTAACGCACTAGTAACGAACTACTTAGAGTCTTAGACCCAGTTTGAAAAAATACTAAAATAAACTATCATGTATATCACACTTTCAAATTTAGAATATACACTTAAAAGAAACAGGCATAAAACAGGCATAGAAAAATGAAAATGAATTATATTTATTATTAGACGTATAAAAATCTATAATACTATAATGTTACATCATACATTAATTCATTTATCGGTAAATTAGTTACAATAATGATCTTAATTTTATTATAGGCAAATTTTCATATCGAAGATATACAAAATTAAAAGATTGGTTTAAGATACATTCGAGCTAAATCCGTTTTGAATGTTATCATTGATATTTAAATTTATTTTATTATTTATTAAACTATAAAAATACAACTTATGAGAAATGATTAGTTTTGAATGGACATTAAAACATTAAAAAGTATCAAAATTTCTACCGTACTGATAGAAAAAATTGATTTCTAACCGAATCATACACTACGTAACATATAATTTTTAAAAACTATCAAATTTTTACTAAAACTACTTTGAAAGATTTTAAATAAATAATCAAAATCCATAAAAATTTCAACTTTATATAATTTTAAATACTTCTAATTCATCCACTTCAAATTTTTCTATACGAATAAACCCAAAAGTATCAGTTAATGGTTTTTTGATCTGGTTTTCATATGATTGACTTGTACACCTAACCATCAAATCATAACTAAAGTCATTAAATAAAAGAAGATCACCATCACCAAATGATGGACCATTAAATAAACCATTATGTATGGCTTTATCTTCATTGTCCACATGGCTTAAAACATTATTAATAATGTTACTACCAAAATCATGACTAAAAGAGAATATAAAACTATCTTTAGTAATACCAAAACTATTATCAGATTTCCATTCAATTGGATTATACCCTCCAAGAATTTCGTTACTACCTCTTATTTTAATAACTGTTACGGTATGTGATTGATTATCACATATTTCATGGAATTTTTTAAATCTATCAAATCCATCAACAGATTCGCGATATAATAATTTGAAGTTATATGAAATTTCTAACTCGTCTGTGGATTTTTGACCATTAATCCATTTTGAAATTAATTCAGCATGCTGTGTTGTTATAATTCTAGAATTAATACCGTTTTCTTCAATCTTTTCAACGTTAGTTGTCGGCTTTTTAATTGGCTTCCTGTCATTGTTCAAAAAATCATCCAATAGTTCGTTATACAAATCCTTTGGCAAGATTTTTTTGTAAGGTAATACCTTCTTTGAAAACTCCTTAGAAGTCAAATTATGGAATTTAATGAAAGGTATACATTGTTGTAAAGTATTCTTTAAAGCATTAAAATCATTTCTTGAGTAACTTGTAGGATCAGAGGAAAGTTCGGGATTTTGAGCAAGTCCCCATTTAATCACATAATCCCAAACATGAATGCTCATCTGAAGATTATCATTTTTAATAAGTGATATCAAAAGATTTTCTGGAATTGAAACGACATTTAATGATTCAAATAACTTTTTCGGATTGTTTGAAATTAAATTAGTACAATATTCTTGAAGTTTTACAGAAAGATCATTTTCAAAACTTGTTTTAAATATCAAATCAAAATTCTGTTCAATCCAATTTGCACTGTTTCCAATTAAAAAGGATTCTAAACAAGGGATTAATTCCTGAAGATTAAGTTCGTTGGCAGCAATTAAGATTTTAATAATGTCTGAAGGTTCATATTCTTCTAAAGAAAGATTTCCTCCGTAAATATATCTAAAAAATTAAGTAAAATTAAAAAAATGTATATATATTAATGAACAATCACTTTTTTTATTTTAATTTTTAAATTTCTTTCTTAGTTATTAGTTATTACATACCTTAAGACTATACTAAAAATTTCAGGTAAAATATTAGGTAATTTAATATTTGTTAAGGTTCCATCATTTTTCTTTTTATTAGTTGACAAAATTTTTTTTAAATAAGGAGAACGATAATTTAAAATAACCTTATGAGCTCGAAATACTTTCATATTAGGGTCATAACCGGCTTCAATTGTAACATCATAATATTCTTCATCGTTTAAAATTTCAAGGAAATTTTGCGATAATATTGGCAAAAGTTTATTGTCAACCATTATAATTTTGAAAGAAATGAAAATTGTAAAAAATTTTTTTTTTTAATACAATTTATAAAAATAGTACATGATCAACGAACAAGTTGCGTCATTATTACCCGAGTCAGCATGGGGTCATAATCACATCATTTTGTAATTCCGGTTCGGGTAAAATTACAGCCGGCTTTTTTTGGCCCGCGCTTTAAACTTGACTGTGATCCTGGTAGTGTTATATTTGCAATGGATAAAAATAATTAAAGAATCTTTTGTTATTGAGGTCATTTACGTTTTCAACACTTGCTCAAATCAGTCAAATTATTACATTATCACTAATAGTCACTTTAAATCGAATTAAACTATATTCAAAATTATTTAAAATGAAATTTTGCAATAAGATCCTATAAGAATTCTTGAAACAGTTTATTAACATGGTATTTACAGATTTATTGAATAATTTTCATAATTTTCTTAAAAAAAATTGTGAAAAACCTAAAATATTTTTTAAATCTGATAAATTTGTATTTTAAGAGATTTTATACTTCCCATACAAAATTAAATAGAGAAATAAAGATGGATTCATTCCTAAAAAATTTCATAAATTGTAAAGTTAAATTAAATGTTGTTATATTTATAGGAAAAGTAATATTTTTGGTGAATATAACCCAAAATACGTTAGATTTTATTATCAAATAAGTATTTTTTTTTCCATTAGGAAACATTGCAAATTTTATTTTGATGATAATTTATTTTGAAGAAAAAAAGAACTTAGGAAACTTCAATAACTTTTCTAACAAATTTTGAAATTTTTGAAACAGCATAATTAGCAACTGATGTAAAAAATATAATATTTCTAATTCACACTTAGTAATTTTCAGGCTAACATAGCTGAATACAATGATTTTTCCTGCAACAGGGATCGGCTAACAAGGACGATGCTTTATCTCACACTGTACTATTTAATTTTTTTTAATAATTACCTAGATTATATCTTATATTTATTCTTGAACTGCAAAAAAATTATATTATAAGAATCTTAAAAAAAACTTTACAGATTTTTTATTGGTTAAGGTATTTTTTGCCAAAAAAATGTTATTGAAATAAAGATAAATTATTATTACCTTTGAATTAAAAATGTAAGCAAATATGGTAGCAATATTAAATTAAATATAAAGTTTACATAGTTACATAAAGATTACTCTATGTCTAAAGTATTTGAACATAGCAGAGGAGAGGATAATCCCACCAAGAACTCTGCATTCACAGTAAACCCTGTCTCTTATACACATCCCAAGAACTCTGCATTCACAGTAAACCAACACTTACCTATCAAATGAGAATGCATATCTGAATTTGTTATTGAATTAATTTCAACTCCAACAAATTTCTTGCAAAAACCTAATAAGAAGAATAAAAAAAAATGTGAGATCCTAGGCAATATTATTAACAACATCAGGATATTAGAGATCCAAAACATTGCTAATAACAATCAAAGTAAGCATAAAGTTCACACTCAGTGACTTAGAGGTCATCTTTCAGAGAGGGAACAACTCAACACACCCGTGCATTGTGCTAGAATCACTCTTTGTCTAATGAATTTGAACATAACAGAGGAGAGGATAATCCCACCAAGAACTCTGTATTCACAGTAAACTTACACTTACCAGTCTAATGAAAGTCCAAAAGAAATACCATATCATTTTAATAAAAAAATCTATTAAATCTAAAAATGTATCTTGATATCCAAAGGGAAAGTTGAAATGATATTGTAATAGAGAATTTTTGTTGTTTCAATATTTATTTCTTTTATATTGAAAAATGTTTTTTTTTTGTATTAAAGTTCTCTTGTTTATAGAGGGAGATTTTTCATAAAAACTATTAATATTATTTACTATAATGTTTGTATTAGAAAAGTGAGCTTTTGTATCTTGTTTTAAAAAGTTATATGTCAAAAAGTGTTGGTGGCTTTTTATAATAAATATGGTAAATAATAACTTCGAAAAAAAGTTGAAAAAAAAGTTAAACATCGAAAAGAGTAAAAAAAGTAAAAAAAAGTAAAAAGTAAAAAAAAAAATAGTCTATTTATTTAATTTATTTTGTTGATCTTTTACGTAATGTAATCAATAATAATAATTAGCCACTCGGAATTTGAAACAGTCGCGTTATAATAATAACATAGTAGACGCGTTTGTCACCACATAGGTCAAATTATCAAAATGATCAAAATGATCTATTTGATCTATTTAATCTATTTGATCGATTAATTTTTTTTGTTCATTTAACAATTCTTTTAAGTATTTACATTTTGTTAAATATTGGTAGTCATTTGTGAATACATATTATAGTACCTAAATTAAATTTAGACATTTCGTGGTACACTACTCGGTATATGTCGATAATTTAATTATTTTATAGTTGTGAGATAAAGTCGATAAAGTCTGAATTATCCTATATAAAAAATAAACTTGAATTATTTAATATGGATAGTTTGCTTACAACATGATAAGAGATGCAGAAAAACATTTGAGTAAAGATGGGAAAAAGATAAAATTATGCATTTCTTCATTTTAATATTTATAATCGCGCTTTTTGTTACTTTCAGAAAAACTGCGTGGAACTTTTATTTATTAAAAAAAAAATTAACATGTTTTATTAATATGTTGGATCATCAGATTAGTATTATTTGCTCTTTCTAACCCTTTTTGCATGTATTATAATAAGTTGATCATAAACGTCCATAAAGCCTTCGAACAAGATCAATAAAGAATAGATTTTCTTTTCTTTTTTCCTAATAGTAATAAATTTAATAGTAAATATCTCTCCACACAGTTATTCAATAATATTCTTACAGATTTTCTTTATTCAAAATAAAAGACAAAAAAACAAAAAGAAAAGATTAAAAGTTCTAAAAATTTCACGCTATAAAAATTATGACAAAATAGGTAAATTTAACATAATTTGAAATACTTCAAATTCTTCTACAAAACATAATTCTTCAGTTTCTCTAATTTGTTTTTCATAAGAACTTTTTTTACAAGAAAATCCCAATCCACCTTCAATACTATGGTATAAATACAGATCACAATTACCAAATGATGGACCGACGTAATAACTATTATATACAGCATTCTTTTCATCCACTACATGACTCTGAATATTATTATTATTCTTAAAACAGAATATAAAACTATCTTTAGTAATACCATAACCATTAGATTTCCATTCAATTGGATTATAACCTCCAAAAATTTCGTTACCGTTTTTCACTTTAATAATTGTCACAGTACGAGATTTATTATCACATTTTTCATGGAATTCTTTAAATGCATCAAATCCGTCAATTGTTTCATGAGATCCACGATATAATAACTTGAATTTGTATGAAGTTGTTGATTCATCTGATTTATCGATCCATTTTGAGATTAATTCAGCTTGTTGAAGTGTAATGATCTTAGAATCAATATTTGTTTCACTAATCTCTTTAGAAGTACTAGGTTCTGATTTCTCGTTATCACTATCCAAAAAATAATCTAATAAATCATCGAATGAATCCTCTGATAGAATCTTTCTAAAAGGTTTTACTTTTTTCGAAAATTCTTTAGAATTCATTTCACGGAATTTAATTAAAGGAATAATATTTTTTAAGGTATTCTCTAAAGCTATGAATTGATCTTTTGTAAATTCTTTAGTATTGGAGGGAAGTTCTGGATTCTGTGCAAGACCCCATTTAATCACATGTTCCCAAATTTGTACTACTCTCATTTGAGCATTTTTATTTTGAATAAGCGAAACCAAAAGTTTTTCTGGAATTGTGGAAAAGTTTGGAGAATTAAAAATCTTACTTGGATCTTTAGAAATTAGATCATTACAATATTTTTGAAGTTGCGAAAAAGAGTCATCATCAAAGCTCGTTTGATATATAATATTAAAATTTTGCTCCATCCAGTTTCCTTTATTTTCAATCAAAAAAGATTCCAAATATGGAGTTAATTCTTTGAGACCAAGTTTACTGGCAACAACCAAGATTTTAATGATAACTGAAGTATCATATTCTTTCAAAGAAAGCCTCCCTCCATAAATATATCTAAAAAACAATAACAAGTTTGTTAAATTATAAATATATTTATTAAATGATATCGTTCATTATACTATATAATTTAATTTTATCTTACTTACTTTAAGATTATATCAAAATTATCAGGAGAAATATCTGTTAATTTAATATGTACCAAAGCCCCATCATCACTCTTTTTATTAGTTGATAATATTCTTTGCAAATAAGGAGAACGACAATTTAAAATAATCATATGAGCACGAAATGTTTTTACGTTAGGGTCGTTTCCAACTTCAATTATAATATCATGATATTCATTATTATTGTTTAAAGTTCCAAGTAAATTTTCAGATAAGTTTGGTAAAAGTTCATAATCGACCATTATAAATTTTTTTATTTTCAATGAAAGAAATGAAAAAAAAAAACAAATCCCATTTTGGCAATGGTTTTTATATCAGGAATGAATGGAATGAAAATCACTGCAGATCGTTGATAAATTTAAAATAGTCGAATTTACGACCAGCGTTATAAATGATCGACATAATTTGTTAATTCCTGAGGTGGATTATCAGTATTGCTAGGAAAACAATGATAATTTTATATAATGAAAACTTTATTATTGTTGGTACTTGGTAAAATTGGCTATTTCTACTTAACTTAGCTTTGGTAACGATATTTTGTATATTTTCTTATATAGTCTATTAAATTTATATGTATGAATTTCAATAATTGAACATTATTCTGAATTATATAAGCAAAATCAGAATTTATACATATCTTATTATATCGAGAAGAATTAAGAAAAGCTTAGCCGAACCTTACATCATCATTCGTATCATTCGTGTAAAGGGGCTTTTTTGTCCTAGGCTTAATCTACAGGACCAGCACACATCAGCAGCGATACAACAGGGAAACTAACTTTGGAACTCAATTTTGTAGTTTTGAATCTTCTCAAAAATATTGTATTGGAATTCAATGAACCGGATAATGTATTTAGTTTACCAAAATTTTCTATAATTCCAGAAAATCTTTCAATTACACTTATTGGGAACATGTTAAAAAATGTCCAAAAAAAAAAAAAATACGGTATACAAAAGAAAATTTAAGAAAATTATGGAAATTTCTAGAATAAAAATTATGGATAACACGCGATGATCACGTTATCACCACGATTTTGATTTAACATTTATCTTACAATTAATGTTTAATTATTTAAGTTACTTATATTCTCATTTTTTTTGACTAATAATGTCAAGACCTTTTTCAATTTTAATTTTCTCATTCAAGGAACTTATATTGTATTGACCATTAATATATACCGAAAACCAAAAACTATTTGTAACTATTTAAGAATTTATATCAATATTGGACTTTTAATTCCTTTCTTGAATATTTACACTAAGATTAATAATTTCTCTTTTTAAAATATAAATTTTAATATTACATTATTATTCAATATATTATTAAGGTTTTTATTAATATTTAAATTTGATTTAACGGAACCATAATTGGTATTAATATTTAATAAATGGAAGTAGCGAGGATATAATCCGATTAAATGGACATCTGTTGGGTTTAGCAGCACTAAAAATATTTTTATATTTTCTTTTTTTTCGGTTATGATACTGGAAATTATGTTTACCTAGGGCGCACTTGCTATACGAACATAGTAAAGCGGAAAGTTCAATATACCTATTTGTCTATATAATGTGTTTAATGACTGTCTATATTTGTGAGAAAAAGAATAAAATCCTCATCAATAACTCTTTTATAATGAATTCATGCAAGTTATGAGTTTATCAAAAATTTTCACAATTAAATTTTTATATAATATATATTTATTACATATTAGATTATAATAACAAAATCTATTACGTCATAAAATGAATAAAATAAAGTAACGATTTCTCGATCGGCATAAAACCTTATGACAATCAATTTTGGATATGTGTAAAATTGTCAAATCGGGTTAGGATGAAATTTTATATTCCGCTCATTAACGTCTCTAAATGGAAACCTAAAAATGAAAGTCGCTATCATCTTTATCATAAGATCCGATTGATATTATTTATTATATTACCTTATTTTATTATATTGTATATGTAAAACCAATACATTCCATACATAAAAAACCATATACGGTTTTGTAATCCCAATGATCAACATTCACTTTGGGAATAATTTTTCCGATTGAATAAAGTTTTATAAACTTACGTTTTTTAAAAAAATTTAAAACATTTCATAAAAAATGTCTAAAAAAGTCTGGTTAAATTGGATTGAAGATGCTATTGAAAAAAAATATATTAAATATTATGATCATAAAAACTTTCTTAACATTAAAGAAATTGGATCCGGAGGCTTCGGAATGGTTTATCGAGCGAACTGGAAAAATTCTCGTAATACTTTAGCACTAAAATCTCTTAACGACTCTACAGCTGAAAAAATTGTTTCCGAGGTGATTACATTATAACATAAAAGTATATTTTGTTTTTATAATAGATTCATTTTCTAATTAAAAATTTCTTCTTTATTATTTTATAGCTTAAAATTCAGCGTGAAGTACATTTTAATGATAATATTATAAAATTTCTTGGTGTTACACTAAGTATAATAATTCTAATATTTGTTTTATATGAAATTTTAATATGAAAATTATAAATTAAAACATTTATTTTCTTTTAAAAAAGATAATCAAAATTCTGGTTCAATTAAACGTTATATGTTGGTAATGGAATATGCCGATAGTGGTACACTTCGAAATTATTTAGAAAAAAATATTAATAATCTTACTTGGAATGATAAACTCAAAATGGCGTATCAATTAGCTAGTGGTGTATCATGTTTACATGATGAGAATATTATTCATCGTGATTTGGTAATTCATTTATTTATATGCATTATGTATTTATAATTTTAATTCAGTCATTTATTTATTATTAATTAATAGCACTCCTGCAACGTGTTAGTCCATCAAAATACAATCAAATTGGCTGATTTTGGATTATCAAAAATGATTAATGACTCAAAATCATCAAAACAATATGGTGTAGTTCCTTATATTGATCCGAAAAAATTCGTAACTGATTCATACTCTCTGAACAAAAAGAGCGATGTTTATAGTATTGGTGTACTTCTATGGGAAATATCAAGTTGTCGCCCACCTTTTAAAGATATGTCTAATCAATTTGTATTACCGATTAAGATTTCGAAAGGTCTTAGAGAAACACCTATTCCTAAAACACCTAAGGACTATGAAAATCTTTATACTGGTAAATATAATTTAAAAGCTTAATTACTGTATGATTTAAAATATTATTAATAACATTGATGATATTGTTAATTTATAGATTGTTGGAAACTTGAACCAGATGATCGTCCAACTATTCAAACTGTAGTTACTAGATTAGAAGCAATTATGACGAAATATAATATAACTACAAAACATGTTTGGACACCTCCTATTATCGGTAATAATTTATCATCACATGACAATTTATCCAAAAGTTTCAATAATAATATCTATAATAATACAATAAGAGTAGAGGCACCTCAAACTAGCTTTTATAAGCAAAAATCTGAGAAAGATATAGTCGATGGAATATCTGCTCTTGATGAAACTGTATATGATCAAAATAAAAAGCAGAAAATTCTTGATTACATTAAAGAGCATCATATGACTCCAGAAAAAATTTTTGACTGGCTATCAAATAATCAAGTTGAAGCAAACTCTCTTCTTGTACTCGGAGATTTTAATTATTTAGGAATTGCAACTATGATTGATAAGGAAAAAGCTTATAAATACTATGAGGAAGCAGGAAATAGAGGAAATAGCTTAGCTCAGTACACTATTGGAATTATGAGTGAAAAAGAATTAGAAAATGAAAGTGCAGCAATTTATTGGTTTGACCAATCTGCCAAGCAAGGAAATCAAAAAGCTATAAATGATTACTATAGATTACAAACATCTAATTGCAGAACCATAAGTACAAATAAATATGGAATTCTAGGTAACAGATTATAAAAAACATGATTATAAAAAAAAAAAAGTAAACTTTATATAGTTTTTGTATTAAATGTTAAAGAAGATTTAATAATGTTTTTATTTTATTTATTTATTTATTTTTTTATTGTATGATTTTTTCGGCGAAATAAAATTTGAATATTTCCACTAAAAAACGTTATATGATTCATATTTCACAAAATGCTAACCAAATTTTCACGTTGATTGATTTATTATGTCTTTCGCCTCGGACTATAATTTCCATTTTCATTGTAATATAAATTTACATATAAATTTCTTTTTTTCACCTCGAGGATCGGTTTATCTATCTATGGTTAGATCAAATGGAGATTTAATCCGTTAAGCCGATTCCGATTTTGGCAATAAATCAAAAAAAAAAATAAAGGAATAAAAAGACAAACTATTACAAATAAAGTTAAATGATATATATGGGAATTTAACAAAATCGTATATTATTGTAAATTAATTAGATTGTTGCCACGGTTGCCACGATGTGGTTTAGATTAGAAGCTATTATGAAAAAAATTTTGAGACTAGTAAATATTTTCAGCTATGTGATTTTAATAGAGAAATCGTAGCATATTCATGTTTTGTAGAAGATTTTTATTCGTGCAATTCTGAAAGATATTCAGTAGTATATTTCAAGTTTATAGAAAATTGATTTACATAATTCAAGTATCCAGTTGAAAAAACTTCTAAAGATTTTCGATCTTGTGGCCAAAAAACCTATTTCAAGTTTTGAAAAAGATTTTTACTCGTGTAATTCTGGCATAGAATTGCAGCAAAAGATTTTCTGTTACATGATTCTATTTCTAGTTCTGAAGGATTATTAAAAATAATAATTTGTATAATTCTAATGTAATAATCAGCAATCTTATTTTAGTCTTTAGAAGTATAAATTCATTACCTAATTAAAACTTGGTCTGGTCAGAATATAAATGCTAAAAATCTGACCAATACAGATCTAGATCAGAACTCTCCTAAAATTGTGTTTTTCACATCTCTATTTTTAAAGCTTATTAATTTGATATTTTAATATTTTTTAACTAGCTGTAAATGTTGCATTGCAACAAGGATTAATTTATGCTAATTTTTCAAATTTTCTATTAAACAAACCATGTGTGATTAATTTCAAATGATTTCTTACAATTGTTTTCAACTTATATTACAGATTGTTTTTGAGCAATCTTTCAATATACATAGTTTTTATTCTATAATTGTTTTAATCATTATCGTTATATCCAATTTTGTATATTCATTATCTGCAAATCTGTATGTGCCTCCAATCTTCTATATTTGATTCACATCTTGGGCATAAATTTTATTAGATAAATACTGTACGTAGATAATTCTTTTAATAGATTTTTAATCTTGTATGTTCTTTCATAATAACTCATCGATTTGTTCATTTTTTTGATTTGAAGTATACTTTTAGCAATAATATCCTAATTTTCTACACATTAACTATTTGTTTTTCTCTTGACCCGATTTCTACAATTCCCATATACAATATTTTTCTTCTAAAACAAGACATAATCATTCAAAATTATGTGGTTTATCATTAAACCTATTTCCTTAATAATATGGAATTTTTTTTTGTTTTATTGATGTAATCCCATCTTCTTTTTTTGGTTAACAAATAAATTGTTATATATTTTTTACCACCAATAAATTTATAATTATTCCAAGCAAGATTCCTCTATCATATTAATTTCTTATATTAATTATAGCGTTGAAAAATTTTATTCTTTTATCATTAATCAGATCCTGATATCTTACACACTGAAACCATTACATAACAAACTATTTTATCATCTCTAGAATTAATTTTTTAATTTCAATAATTTTTCTCCATTCCCATTTATCAAATAATCAAATTACATCAATTTTCATATTAAACTTCTTCATTATTAATCTTACGTAACATTTTACACAAATTATTATATTTCCATTTCTTTCCTATAATTAATAATCTTATTTTCTTTATTCTCTAAATAAATTACTTTTCTTTCTCTTATCATTTAATTTACTTATATTTAAATTACAATCTCCACACAATTCCAAACTAGGTGAATTTTCATCCTTATCTTCTGCTATAGATATCAAATGTAACACAATATTATGATAATTTTTTTATTTTGCTATTTTCTTCTTACATGCTATAAATTACGCTATTATTATTATCCCAAGTTATCAATTCATTTTTATCAACTTTAACTTTCTTATCACACATATTGATTATAGTTTTTCTTTTTATATTATCCTTTAATTCCCTTATTTTATTACTTATATTATTTAATTTTCTAACTCTAGAATTTTTTTATTTTATTATAGATTCATTAAAAGTTTATAACCAAAAAAAAGAAAAAGTTGAAAGCTATACTGCATATTTACTAATAACTTAAAATTTATTAGATAGTAAATTATAAGCTAGGAAATTTTATGTATGAAATCTTATTATTATAAATGTTGAAATAATTTTTGTTTGAAAAATTCGATCAAATATTAGGATCATTGTGATTTTCAAAAAAAAATGTTTCGCTACTTGTTATGTGTTATATGAATTGTTTCAATAATTGAAGCCATTTAACTATCTTGTGTAAAATTAATATTTATAAGTTTAAACAAAAGATTTTTAACAATTTAACCAATTTATTATAAATAAAAACAAAATTTTAACATAGATCATGTACACTGACAATATTTACGTCGCTTCTTGTAATACTTTCTTTCAACTTGTTTTAATTAACGAATGGAATAATCTGTCATGATTTTACAAATTTTATTACATAAATTACGTTAAGATACTTAAATCAATATACGGTTGTAAGTATTTTTAATTTTTATTGGTTATTTATACATTTAATAATTTGAATAAATTTATCAAAATTATTTAAATTACAAACTAAGAATTTTGTAAACATTTACTACTCTAGTCTTAGTGTTTAAATAATCCAAGATAAATAAATAAATGATAATAATTTAAAATATACAAAAAAAAAAAAAAATTATTGATTTAAATAATTTAAAATCCATCTAAAGATTAAAAAATAACAAATTATAAATTAATTATTTGCTTTATAAAGAAATTTATTATTTTTCTAATTTATTTTAAGATCTTACCATCAGGAATTTCCAGTTCATCTTGCTCTTTTGAATGAAAATTTGGATTATTATATACTTCGTCTTCATCTATAAAGAAAAAAAATAAATAAATAGAATTAAAATAATATAAAATTTGTTTATTATTACGTAAAATTTTCAACCTACCATCGACATTAATATTTTGCCCTTTTATTTGTTGTTGAGTTATTTCTTTTTCATCATCTAAATTAAATAAAGTCGTGTTTAATAAATAAATAAAATTGATATAATAATGCATTTTATTTGCTAGTAATTTATTACTATTCTTACCATTTGAATTTATTTGCAACTTTTTAAATAATTTAGATATTTTTTTACTACTATCTAAAATTTAAGTTATTGATTTAATATATAAAAATCAATCTTTGATTTGAAAATAATTAAAATACATTACCTCTAAAAATGGTAACTATTTTCGATGATTTGTTACTGTTCTGCTTATTTGATTTATTAAAATCGTTAACTAAAATAAATATCAATTATTAAACATCATTATATGATAATTCAACGCTGTAATGTTAATAAATACTTACTATTATTAGGAATGTTAAAATCATACAATTTACTATGAAACGCTATTGGTAGTAAAATAAAGTAAATTATTTTAGTAACTAAAAAAATAGTGGAAATTATTATTATACGGTTATACCTTCTTGTTCTTCTATTAATATAATAAAAGATAACATTAATAATGTATTTTAAAATAAATACATTCATTAATAAAATATTATACAATTATACCTTCTGTTGCATTTCTTGGTTCAGGTAGATTTTCAAAGTTGTGAATTTTACTTGTAAATAATTCGCTACTCGTATAATTTTCTTCTACTTTATTCATTTCTAAATTATCTATTACTGATTTGATCAATTCATCTGGTATATTTTGATAATCTAAATGAATTTTTTCCATTTTTTTCATAAGTGCATAAGCGTCAAGTCTTTTTAATGGATCAGCATCCCAACATTCTTTCATTAAATTTTTATATTCTAATGGAGTTCCTGTCACAATTTTTGGCCTTATACCGTGTATAATATTCATTACAATATCATTTTCATGTTCATAATTTATAAATGGTGTTTGTCCAGATGAAATTTCCCACATAAGAATTGCAATACTATAAATATCAGATGTAAAAGTATACTCTCTTCCAACGATAACTTCGGGTGCTATGTAAGGAAGGTTTCCATATATACTTGTTGAAGATTTATCAGCAGGTCCACAAAATCCAAGATCACTAATTAACCACCTATCATTAAATTTTGAATATAATATATTTCCGGAATGTAAATCTCTATGAACTGCTTTCTCATCATGAATATAATAAAGTGCAAAAATTATTTCATAAGAAATATTAATTCTATCTTTCCATGTAAGTTGATTATGATTTTGTCGTAAATATTTTCTTAAATCTATATCCATTTCATTCATTACAAGCATATAATTTCCATTTGATGGATTTTGTGTTAAACCATAACAATTAACAACACACGCCCATTTATTACTTATAGCTAAATGTGATTTAGCCTAAAAGATAATAATTTGTGAAAATACTCATATTAATATAAAGATTGTATAATTTTATACAATAAATTTAGAATATAATAATACAAACCTCTTCAAACCAACTTTGATTTGCACTTTCAACATTTTCTAACGCTTTAAGTACTACTTTTGCCACTATGTTCTGTATTCCAAGTCTTTTAACTCTATTAATTGTTTTTTTTTCAGAATCCCATTCTTCATAATATCCATTAATCCAGTCTGCTGTATAGATTTCAGAGAATCCACCTTTTGTCAAATAATTAATATTTTCCAAATTATTATATGGAATCCATTCAACTATCATTTGTGGATTAAGTGATTCTATTTGACATTTCTGTATTAAATCATCAACATCATCATTCCCAGATGTCCAATTTGAAAAATTTTCTTTTAAATATTTTCAGACACAATATTCACAATATAATGTGGCTAAACATTCTTGGTTACAATTTTCACAAATTCTTTTTGTTCCTGAATTAAAAATAACTTTACTTCGATCATAAATTTTAGTTAATAATCTTATTGCTTCAGTTTTTTCATCATTTGTAAGAATTTTATCAGCAAGGACTGTTTGTTTTTGAAATTCAAATTGTTTGTGTATATTATTGTAAATATTAGTATCTAATAATATAAATGTCCTACCAATTGTTGCATTAATTAATTCATGTCGAAGAGTGGACATAATGTAATTTATAAATTAAGGGAAAAGAAAGAATTATTTTAAGTTCGTTCATTCAAACCGTAATAAATTAATAAAATGCAAATTGTTGATCAAACTTCATGTTGTGCCACATAAATTTGTAACCTTTAGGCGTAGTATTTGACGCCTCATGACCAAAAAAAGAAAATATACTGATATAATATGTTTCTACTCCATATTATCGACTTTCTAATTTTTTTTTTCTAGCTATACTTAGTATACTTTTATTTATTTTTTTTTTAATGCATGTTTAAGCAAATTTGGTTGTTATACTTAATGAATAGATAGTTATTCCTTGATTATATTGATTATGTAATAATGGATTGCAAATATAGGTTTTTAATAAAATATATGGCTTAATGAAAAAAAAAAATAAAATTGAATAAATAAAAGAAATTATTACATCATTAATTACATGCTAATAACAATTTGGCGTAATAATAAATAAGGAATAGATCAGACGCAGTAATGAAACACTTTTACATAAGGCTGCTCATTACCAATTTCAATTGTTACATCATAATAATCATCATCATTTGTAAAAAATTTATTATCGTCCATATATAATTTTTTTTATAAAAAAAAAAAAATATTTCCAATTTGTTAATGGTACAGTTTTAATAAACAACTTTTTGACAAAAAAATTATTTAATCTTTTACAGATCGTTTTAACATAAATATTAAGCTTGTGATATATAAGCTGCCTCTTCTTTCGATTTGTGTAGCAATATGTTTTACTGCACAACTTTTTTGTGTACCAGGTTGGTAGCGCAGCGATGACAAATAACGGATGGCAAATAAGTTTTAGACCACTCAAAAAAAAACGTCAGCTGAGAACAACATGAACTCGTCAATCACATGATCGGTGACAGTTAAACATCCCTTCTGATTATAGTAAATGATCGATAAAACTGGCACACAATTATAGTACGACATGACACTTATAATAAATCATATGTAGCTTAATCACATTTATTCATCCTTTTGGATAGGTAATAATACTGAACGTTGATGGGCGTACGCCCTTATATTTTGATAGTACGTACGTTTACAAAATCTAATAAAATTATACTAATACATAAGAACAACTTTAAATTTTGTACAACTTTAAATTTTCGTACTAACAAATTAAATACTGTGTATTTATATTACTGCATTTTTTTTATCTCTGAATTAATGATTTAGTTCTTTGGATTACCGTCATACTAATGTCATACATTTTTATATATATAGTATTCCAAAACTTTTGAGCGATTGTTAAAACAGTCATTTTTTGAAGGTTGGATGAAAACATACTTGAATTTATCTATATTTCCATATCTTAAAATAAATTTCAACTTTGTAAATTATAATTTATTTATACAAAAAGTAATCAAATTATGAAATAATTAAATAAGAAAATTTTTAATAGTTTCTAGCTTTTTTTGAGATAAAGGGTCTTTTAGGAACGTTTAAGCGTGATAAACGTGACTTGTCAACAAACGTACCACGTAACTGTTGAGCCAAAAAAGTTCCGACGATGTTTGGCTGAGTCGGTGTAAAGATGGTTTTTATGGGTATTTAGGTATTGAGTTTTTGTTTGTTGGGACGTTCAGTTTGTACACATTTTACATACTAATTTATTCCTGAATCAAACCGCAGATAACCTTACTGTATGAAAAAAAAAAAAATTTACTAAGAGTATATCTAAATTTTAAATTATACTTAAAATATACTTAAAATTGCATTTTTTACATATTACCAACCTAGCAACGCCAAATGCATTTTCTTAAATTACAATAATTTAATTACATTTTAGATGTATTCTGTAGATGTTAAAATTTTAATTATATTTTAAGTATTTAAGTCTATTTTAAAGTACATTTTAAGTATATATTTTATTCATAGTAAACCTGCTTCTTACAATCTTAAATTTCTGTAAGATCAATCTCTCTCATTATTTTCATTAACATTTATTTATTTATTGACATGGTTTATTTTAAGGAATCCTTGCAAAAATTTAGAAATTTACTTAACGCAGATCATTGCGTCGCAAAGATATTCCCCGAAAGAAAATAAACTTTTGAATTTATGGTAACATAAATAATAAACATAAAAAAGAAATAATAAAAAAAAATTGAAAAAGAAAAAATTTATTCTTCAGTGAAATTAAATTTCAAAATTAACCAATGAAAACCGAGTTTAACAAATTAAATATCTCATCAGATAAAACTTTTACCGAAGAATTAGTGTATAGAATTTCCCATATAGGATAATGAAAGAATGAACCATTGGAAATCCTGAGATACGATCATACGATGTATGATGTAATAATTAGTAAAGTTGATGAAGATTATATTGATGAATTTCTTGAATAACATTTGATAGATGAGGATTTGCCCAAAGTATATTCCGTAATTTGTTGCGAATATAGCTTAAAATACATTGAAGGTTATGGATTACTATTTTATAGATATACTAAAGAATTTGCCGATAAAGAAATTCGAGAAATAATTTTTCAAATAATTTTAGCAATATTATAAGAGAAAAAAAAAATTGAATTATTAAGTGATTCATCCGTATACTATGTGAATTCTTAGATTTTCATAGTGGAAATGAAACCAGACGATAAAGTATACACAGTTACCATATATTGCACCAGAAGGCTTAAATGGAGAATCATATACATCATCATCTGATATTTATAGTTTTGGTGTAATTATGACAGATTATCATTTGGGAAACTACCTTTTTATAATAAAAAAAAGGAACTCCTAAATTTTATAAGAAATTAGCTTATAAATGCACGAATGCTAATTCAAATGAAGGACCAACAGTTTGTTTTTAAAAGGGAAGAAATTCGAACAGCGTTTAAAGAAGTCGATAAAGAAATACCAAACATTTTACATACAATACATAATATGATATTTTTATAGATTCCAAGTATTATATTGTAAATAAATTCTGATTAATAAATTTTTTACTTGTCAAATTTATTCATTTTTTTAATTGGCTATAATTTGTTAGAGTTAATAAAAAGAAAATCCGTTGAAAAATAAATTGAGTAATTAATAAAACATTTGTACCTTGCTGTGGAGGGTAGGGATTGGAATCGATTTCCATAATTAGAATCATTAAATTTGTGGAAAATTTCCAATGATCACAAATTTAACATATAAATCATTTGATTATTAAATTGTATGATTTTGCATTTAAAATAAAACGTTTTATTGCACGAATAATCAGTAATCGGCGGTAACTCTGCCAAAGTTTATAATTCCGGCCGAAATTAAAACTTTAGTATAAACGCAAAGATCTGATGTCACGTGATTAAAACGAGCCGGCACTATAGTTTCGATTTTTATTTGATAATCGAGTTTAATCGATTCCGATTTCGATTTTGGCAGAAACGACCTAGTGGAAGGTTCGCGATAAGCCTCAATGTGTTTCTATTATTAATGGTATGTTAGGTCAAAAATGTCTTCTTATAATTTTTGACTTTTTAGTTGTTTCTGTCTTTTTTGAGAAGGCAGTATAACGAATAATATGCGAGGAGATAAAAAAAAAAGATACGACATATTTATAATATATAAATTATTTAAATATTAAACCATGTATAGGTCCTAATGACAAATAATCGATACAATAAACATTCATCTACACATATTAGTTATTTTTTATATATTACTTATAATGTATCTGTTCGCGTATATTTTAAAACAGGAGATGTGAATGGACGCGTTAAAATCGATGCATTGCTTAATTGTTTTTGCGCCTATGATTTATTATTAAAATTTTTTATAAAAGATAGAAAACTTTGTTTATATTGTACAAAACAAATCGTGCCTTTATCTCTTCTTTTTCCAATTATATGAAAATGTAATTGAGAAAAAATATATAAATCCAATTGTGATTATGATATAATATATATTTAAAATCTTTTATAGTGAAACATTCGGTTTATGATACAAAGTAATAATAAATAAATCATATAAAAAATTTTTGGGTATATTATTATTTAATTTGTGACGCAGCAACTAAAATGTCATGTGATCTATACTATAGTATAAGTTACAAGAGCAAGATTATTAAAGTTATAAAATGTTCAATTGGGCGAATTATTCATAACATCTTGAATTTTTTAGTACGCTCATGACAAAATTGAGTTGCTTAATAACTTTTTTAATAAACTATTTATATTTAAGGTTACATATAGTTATTACAGTATTTTAAGCAATAAAAGTTTCTATTGTTATCACTGATTTGGTTTGGAGCGATAACTAACGTCGGAGATGTCAAACTGATCAGTTGTGACAAAAAGGTCAAACAGTAAGATTATAGGTGTTTCAATAATTTTGTAACAAAATATCGGAGTATCATAATAATTCTCAATAGAAATTAATAATGAAAGTATAATTCTGGTAAATAATGTAAAAGTCTCTTAAAAATAAAAATCTATTAAA